AGTGAATGACCATTTTTTTTTACAGTATCTCTTTTGCTGGCCGTGTGGTCCACACATTCCTTGCTTGGCTGCTGCTGTTTTGTCTTTTCAACAACGATGTTCTGGCCTATTAATTTTCCTCCTTTTGGTTGTTTAGGGCTTTTTTTGTTTAAAGAGGGTGGTCATGAAACAAAAGGTTTAATAGTTCCTCTTACTGCTAGGCAGAGGTCTGGATAGTTCTGAAATAGACTCATGGGTTTGGCTGAAGAGGGACAAATTGTATCAGGGATGTAGAGGTTTTGAAAGGCATGTACTTGTCTAAATCCAGACCTCATCTGCAATAAGACAGCGTATACATTTTAAACATGAGCTTGTTCGGGTGGCCAATCTGAATTGCAAAGAGATTAATTTTTTAAAGATTATTTTTGGTTTACAAGCTGACTATAGGCAGAACACTTTATAATGCAAACATTGGATTACACAGATTATATTCCTATTGGGGTGAAGACAAAAGGAAGAGGTACATATGAGAGAAGTTAGATTCTTAATGTAATACTGGAAGACGATGAGCAAGGGACTCATGCACAGCACAAGCTTCTAGCACAGTCTATGATGAAATATTTTAATACAGATAAAAAAAAGATTAATAAAGGAACAGCGACAGAGAAATGAACAGAGGAGTGCAGCACGGTCAGACTCGGCAAGCTTTAATAGTGCATATTCTCAAAGTTTTAGCCAGCACTTTGCTGCTCCAAGGTCTTCTAAGCAGACATCAGCTAATACACCACATTCAGAGTACCTGGAATAGATACCAGGATAGGACCAAGGCATGAGCAGCTTGTGTTTGACATGTCTGGGCTTGTGCAGCGCTTCTGACTATGTATTGTTAGAAAATTATTAAATCCCTGTGTAGAGAGGTCTGACGTACTGTTAGAAACAGAAATGGGCTTGCGTTCAACCCTACAAATCTTCACAAATTATTGTATTCATGTTCACTAGGCAAAAGGCTAAATTCGTCTGTGAATTATTTTATGCTTACCCTGATATATGGGCATCCTTCTCTTATTTGCATGTTTGCCTGCAACACCAGATTTCAGCCTGTGACATCCAGCTGTTGGGCAAACCATATGGACTCATTCCTGTCTCCTGTTTGGGCACCAGAAACACTTTATCCTAGTGCAATGTGCAACTAATGAAGTAGTGAGAGAACTATGGATTACCAAATAGTTTGTAATCTTGCTGAAGCATGCATGCTGGCTGCCCCCCTGAGCAAAATCTACCCTACTAGCTATTAGCTCTCTCTGACCTGGCGTAGGCAGGATATTATGATCCTTTCCCAGTGTCGGGCTGTGTTGACCCCATAGCCAGGATATTGTACCATTCTCCTCAGTCTTCGGGGTTCATTAGCACTACCTAATGTATGTCTGCATTTTGGCCTTTTCCAGGCAGCTGCAGTGTGATCTCCTGCCTACCCCCTGGGCTGGCACAAACAGCTTCCCTGGGGGACAGCACATCCTGCCTTGGACACCGAGCCCTTAAGGAGCACACGTAGCTTTGCATCCCCATCCTGAAGGCATTTTGATTGGGAAACCCAGCCAACAAACATGAAAAAACAAGAAGAAACCCACAGCCACCTAACACTCTTGACTTAAGTGTTTATGACAAATAAATACTTGGAGGAGGGAGAGTTCCCTGCAATTTGAATGGCTATTCCTGTGAACAAGTTGTCTCAGTCAGCAACAGCATTTGACTAGTTCTAATAATTAGTATTATTATTTTTATTAGATTCAAAATAGTTACTTCTTATTTACTTATTTTTCTGATCTTATTATTCAAGACCATCAAAATAATAAAGAAAAAACAGGAAAAATCATGTTTTGATTCTGGTTTGTAAACTGAATGACAAATTGTAACAAATAAGCTTGCACAGTGAGTGTGGTGTTCTTTGGTTTGGTTTTGTTTTTTTTTTAAATTATTTTTAAAAATCCTTTTGTATCTATTTACTCACACTTTTGAGCTGAGATGAGAAAAGTGGTTTTACATTACCCAAATGCTGAAATACTCAATGTCCAAGTAGTTTAGTGATACTGTTTGGAAGAGGAAAAAAGCCTAATATGCCATTAAGCAGATCGGTTTTCCTCTTTTGTTCCACAATAAGCTGCTGTTAGTTGGGAAAATATACAGCCACTTGTATCATCCTACAGCCAGAAATATAAGCAGCAATAATATAGTGTAAATTTATAACCAGTACAAGGTTACAAGCAGACTGTGGAGACGTATGTTACCTAAAGCAATTAGATTATGATTGTAGTGGTACTAGAACAAAATCATTTACAATGTTAAGATTTTTTTTTAACCAAGACCATTTTACTTCCAAGCTTTCTCCTAATACTCCTTAATATATTTGATTTAGAATATATTAGTTAAACTAAATCATCAGGTGAGTTTCATGCTACTAATTTTAAATACTCAAGACTAAAAAAGAAAATCATGTAGAGCCATTGTAAGGGCTGTTGTTTGCTTTTATACTTCCCCCTGTTATATCCAGACATTAACTAAAAATTATTCATCAAAGGATACCTCTATGTGCATGTTTATATACCTTCACATATGGCTTCAACATGCCTGTGAGACATAAAGAATAATGGATAAAATCCCTGAGAGCAAACAGTAAACAACCTTCGATACTGTCCTCTCTAACACACTTTTTTCACAACGAAGTAAAGGCATTCTTACAGCACCTCCACAACAGGGATTGGTTCAATCAATAGGGATAAGCTACTGTTAATTAGTCTGATCTACTTTAATAACTTTATTCAGAAGGAAGGACGGGGGGGGAGAGGCTAGGGGAAACTTCCCTGCTGTCAGTATTATACCCTTTAGAGGAGCCTTATATCAGCAATTCAGTGGGAGGAAGTCATGTGGAAGCATTTCTGTATTGTTCCCATGAGCATTCATCTCCTAATTTGCATTAAACTAGTGGGGAGTCGACACTGGTTTGGGTCCATACCTGTAAATCTTCCATTATGAGATGAAAGTATTAAAGAGCAGCACTCAGACAAACTTGCTTCCTCCCCAGGTTGAACAAAAGCAATCTCTAATGCAAATAAGATTAGCTGCAGTATTTTTTTTTTGGGGGGGGGGGGGGGGGCGCTTTTGTGGTGTTTTCATTTTTAAACTGGGAACTTGTCTTATGCAAGATCATACATCAACCTTTGCTGTCTACCTAAAGACTTCAGTCAACTTTTGCCAAAAGAAGTCCTGAAAAACACCAAAGCACCCCTTCTCAAGGCCTCCCCCCCCCCCCCCCCAGTCCTGCAGCAACCACCATGTGTTAGAGGAAGAAATGCAAAGCAGCAATGCCGCAGATATTTCCAAGGGATAAATTCTCCAGTTGTGTAACTCAGTGCCCTATTGATTTCCAGAGGATTACTCTCATTTACTTGACACGCAGTGCTGGCCCAAAATGTTCCCGTTAGGAAAGTTTTTAGTTTTCATGGCTGGATTTACACCTACATATTTCTCAGAAACAGAATCAGTCAGAACAAAGCAATTAATCTTTTTCTTTGTATTTCTTGTGGTGCTATCTCCATATGTGTTTGTGCAGTTTCTATCTCTCCATCTATCTATAATTATACAACTAGAGCTTGGCTTCGAGGGCATTAGCAGTAAACTATTGTTCAAAGGAGATTGCAGATTGCTTGGAGCAGGGAACTGTCTTCTTAATTAGTCTGGAAAACATCACACACACTTATGGCACTATAGCAATAATAAATAATAATAAAAATAGTTCCTGAAAGGGGGTTCATATTGCCCAAAGGCAAAGGCTGGGCAGCTGTTGGGTAGTTGATGGTTCCCAGCAGTAAATACGAGTGGATAAAGCATTGTTTCCAGGAGGGATCTTGTCAAGCTGCAGATTCCTTCCCAGCCTGATACCTGACAGTACATCTACTTCAGGTATATTCACTGGAGATATTTTCTCTGATAGGATATAAAGTTCACTCTGCTTTTAAATGACAAGGTAAGAAGTGAGAAGTAATAAGGCAACTTCCCAGGCTGAGCCAAGCAGTCTGCTGCAGAAGTGTCCTTGGTCTGACCTTTTTAGGCTTCTTTTTTTTTTTTATTTTTTTCCTTTTTTTTTTCCTGTTTAAGGGAGAAGGTGTGCAAAGGCAATCCAGCGAGACTGCTCTTAGAACCAGCAATATAGTGACAGCCTTTGGAAACAGCTATGCAAGGAGGCTGACAGATTCATCAGGTACAGTGTGGCTCTACTGCAGGTCTGCCTCACTGAAATGGTTTAAGCTTTTTTACAGCTGCTTAACCTAGGGGAGAAAGGGAGGGGGCAGAGAGAGGCTGGGAATTTCAGTCTCAGAGGCAGCAAGTGTCAGCTCCTCTCTCCCGTGAGAATACTCCTAGAGTCTGATCTGTTTTGTAATGCAACAGATAGCCTGCCTATTAAGTGCAAACAAAGGCTATATTAAAAAAAAAAAAAAAAGGAGAAAAAATAACCTGGCTGAATACAGGTTATTTGGTGGAATTTACACATTTCTGTAAATGAGTTAAATTGCTGGATACTGGTGATGTATCTCAGCAAAACCCATTCACTGGAAACCAGCAACAAACATAAACTTAGAACCAAATCCTGCAGACCTTACTTAGTGACTACTTAGGCAAAGCTCCTAGCAACTTAAGTGGAAGTTTTGCAAGAGTAAAAATGATTATATTTGGTTCATGAGACAGTAAAGCCAACATCCAAATATACCTTCACAGTTTCTTAGTTATTCTGTTTCTACCCAGAAGTATTCTATATGCACTTTTGAAATAAACTATTTATTATTCAACTGAGGTAAATTCATGTAGGATCCCTTAGACCCCTGCATCCATACCTGACAAACTTTGTATTTTAGGTGAAGCATGGTGTCCATGGGTTGATATAGCAAATATTCCTTTAGCTTTAGCAAAGGCCTGAATTTTACTCTATTTCTGAAGCAGATTTGAGGAATGACTGTTTAGTGTCTGAAGTGAGCAGAGCAGGAAAGGTTGCAGTGAGCTTTGTTCTGGTCCTCTGATGCTACAAGGCTCTGATGCTGGTGGCACAAAAAAGAACAATTTTTGACAGCTCCAAGTTATCTATCTCTAATATTTCACAGACTATTGCCTACACTGCCTTTTGGCTATGGCACAAGACCATGGTCCCTAGATGCAAACTTTTATTCACCTTTGATTTAGAGACATTATTGGTCATCTGCTGTTTGCATGAATTCAAGCAAGAATTACCCAAAGTAAGCATAAGCTGGACCCATCTGTATGTCTGCCTGGCTGTCAGAGTCCACAGTTTGTCCCCCAGTGTGCTGCTGCAATGCCTCATGGCCAGGTGGAGCTGACCAGACCCAAACTTCTTGCCTGACCTTCACAAGCTACCATGACCAGTACCAGTAACTAAAATATTGGAAGGCATACTGTGGTGAGGAAGACACAGGGTTTTGTGTTTTGGTTCGTTTTTTTCTTTTCCTTTTGCTTACATACCTTTACTGTTGTTTTTCACCCATGTACATCTCTTGCCCAATGTTATGGTAACTACAGAGCCTTTATGGCAGCTGAAGATGACCTTTTGGGTCCAAATTCAAGTTCATTTTCTGTGGCTCAACAGTAATTAAGATTTAGCTCATGGTATTTTTCCTACTATTATTGACCAGCCACAATAACTTTCAAGGACATGTGTTCAAATTCACATTTCACCAGCTCACTTTTTCCCCTTCATCTGTATCTTAATTGCTGCAGCTGCTTGTACAAGTCAAAAGTGGGGTGGGGTGAGGGTGGTGAGAGGAAAGCTCAGAACTAATATAAAGAATATAAGAATATAAACACTTTCAAGAGTCCACAGTTATTCTCCTGGAAGATGTTAGCTTAGATCCACTTCTAATCAAAAAAGGAAAAAGATACATTATTTTAACAGTCAAGATATGGAGGATGTAAAATACACTCAAAGAAATAAGAGACTATTTCAGTAAGCAGTACATCCTGCAAACAGTATGATTATCGTCGCTGAAAAGTTTTTAACTGTTGTACAAGAAATGAAACAAGTGGCTGAAGAGATTAAAGTCTGGGACAGAGATAAAAGTTTCTTAAACTCTGGCTTTCTTGATGTGGTAAAATCTTTTTCATGTGAGATTAATCATTGGTCATAAGGCCTTTAGCTAAGCAGTTTGTATATATTTGAAGGTAAAACTACAAAGCTGCAGAACCCCATCACTTGTATACAAAATTCTAGAAAAAATGCAAGAAATGAGATGTAAAAATTCCGAAGTCTCTGTGAGGCATGTCATTTGTTCAAGCTGCTATAGACTGCTAAAGACTGAATTCTAACAATGAAATCTAGATCAAGAGTAGCTGTACTGCATGAGTAGCTGTACTACACATAGCTAAACCAGTAATTAATAGTTATCATGATTATTATTTTGACTGTAGCCTTTCTGTATAGAAAACTCTAATTGTTTATCTGTGCTTACATTAAGAAAGCAAAAGTCCTGTCAATCTCTCTGCCATTGTTAAGGAATCATTTCTGACAGCAGTTTCTGTAGGGTATTTTAGGAGGTAAATGTTACCTTGACAAGAAATTGATTTTCTAGTATAATAATAATAATAATAATTCTATCAGATACTGTAATTAAAGTCATAAAGCAATAAATATATTACCAGTAAAGAGAAGCCAGCAGCCTGACTGAAGACTAAGAGTGAGGTAGAGATTTTTACTTTTTTAGTACTCAAGAATGCATTTATAAAGTAAGCACTGTATTTGAATAACAGATGGACAGATACAGGGAACCACCAAGCTAGACCTACAGAGTTCAGAGTGTTAAATGAAGGCAAACTAAGATGCTTGGCAACTGCATTGTAAAATTCAGTGTATTCAGAGCTCCTTTACTAAGAATAACTCCTTCTTTGTCTGGAGAGTAAAAAAGAAAACAGAGCAGCAAAACAGATTTCTGAATCAATATTAGAAATCAGTGCTATGGGTATGATAAAAAGCTAAAATGCTAGATACTTGTTATCAGTATCTAACACTTGGTGTTTATATTTTATTTTCCAAACTGCCAGATTATTTTTCCCCATTTGCTGAAAAATCAAAACCATAACAAGTCCTCCACCTTGCCTCAAATATTACACATTTTACACATGCTATGAACTGACCACTCCCTATTTTAATGTTTTGTTTTTCAAAAGAAAGGGAATAGAGGTTACATAAATCAGATAAACATTTATTGTCATTTATATTGAAAATTATGCCTTATTATTATTTGCTTTTAAGTAAAATTCCTTTTAAAATTGAGATGAAGGCTTCCCAGTTGACATCAGTGAACTGAGACTGATTTTTGCAAGAAATAATAGCAAATGTGGCGAATTTTGCGACAGTCATTAGTATTTTCCTTCTTCTATAGGAGTGTAAAGACTGGAGTGCTCTGTGGAGTGGTCTCAGAAAGGTCATTAAGGACAAGGGATGATATAAACAGTCATCTAAAAGCATGGCAAATCAATCATAATTAACACTTTGAGGTACTTCCTGAACATAAAGCCATTGAAGGAAAAGGTCATTGAAGGGGATCACTGGACAATGTGCAGATATGGGGGCAAACAAGGTTCCTCACTCCAGTTCTTCTTTTTGGTTGATCAGTTCCTGCCCCTGCTTTCAGCACCACCCGATGCTGGAGCATATCAGGGTCCTGCTGGGAAGGAAGCAGGACAGGGCAGGGGTGACAGTGAGCTACACAGAGCTACAGCCGTGATCTACAAAAGCCATTCTGAAGCTAAGTGGAAAGTCCAAGGAGAAACTTGTGATTTAGAGACAATCTCTAAAGTATTTAGGCACAGAAGGTGAGAGGTGTAGGCATTTATTGACCACCAAAATCTACAGTCTTGAAGCATCTACAGAAGGCAACTCAGCTAGATTTTTACTTAATTCACCTGTTAATAACATTACCTGAAACAGGAAGAAGTGCAGAACAAGGAAATTAATTCCCCTTTGTCATACATTGTGTAGTGACAGTTATTTAATTAAAGAAGCAAAAGTCAACACCCCTTCTCTTCTCTCAGACCTGGTAGCAGCAAGTATGAAACAAGAACGTCTTCCGGCCTAAGCCCTGTAGTGAAATGCCCATTTTGTGTATTATCTTGGGTCTCAGAAAACAGGGAAATGTGCACATACCTAGAGCTGTCAAGAGCTAGGTATGCCCAGAAACAGACCCTTTAACATATGGCGTATGTTTCCTGGCATTCCCAAGGTCATATGGCAGTCAGACTTGATATGAGTGGAAGACTGAATGCAAAATAAATGTTTCTTCACAGAAAAAGTGCAACCCAAATTCCTGAAATCCAAATGTTTGAATACACTATGGGCCTTCATTACAGATCATCAATGAAGATTTATTGCAGGACTAAAACCACAGACTTGATCTATTAGATGAAATCAACAGTTTCCATGTAGATCAGACTTGAGAGGAAAGTACAGCACAGACAATGCCACAGAGATACTTTTAAAGTTGTGGTAACTGTAAGTCAATTATTTAAAATATCTTTTACAGAATAAATTTGTTTCTGAAACTGAACACTTAAACCCAGAAGATATAAGTGATGTGCTAGCATTATTAGTCACAGAAGACCAGGGACCTATTGCAGTAGATGTCCACCATACACTTAGTAACAACTAGTCTGTGTTTACTTCATCTTGTATTCCTGAATATTTTCATTCTAGTGACTGGTTTGGTAGTAACAGCACCTGAGCACACACACTTCACCCTCCTCAACTCAAAACCTGACTGGGATCAAACCCACCAGGATGCATATCTAAGTGGTGAACATAGAATCATAGAATAGTTAGGGTTGGAAAGGACCTTAAGATCATCAAGTTCCATTGGGCAGGGACACCTCCCACTAAACCATGTCACCCAAGGCTCTGTCCAACCTGGCCTTGAACACCACCAGGGATGGAGCATTCACAGCTTCCTTGGGCAGCCCATTCCAGTGCCTCACCACCCTAACAGGAAAGAACTTCTTCCTTATATCCAATCTAAACTTCCCCTGTTCAAGTTTTAACCTGTTACCCCTTGTCCTATCACTACAGTCCCTAATGAAGAGTCCCTCCCCAGCATCCCTATAGGCCCCCTTCAGATACTGGAAGGCTGCTATGAGGTCTCCACACAGCCTTCTCTTCTCCATGCTGAACAGCCCCAACTTTCTCAGCCTGTCTTCATACGGGAGGTGCTCCAGTCCCATGATCATCCTCGTGGCCCTCCTCTGGACTTGTTCCAACAGTTCCATGTCCTTTTTATGTTGAGGACACCAGAACTGCACACAATACTCCAGGTGAGGTCTCACGAGAGCAGAGTAGAGGGGCAGGATCACCTCCTTCGACCTGCTGGTCACATTCCTTTCGATGCATTTTCACATCAACCAACACCCCCAAGCCCTTCTCTGCAGGGCTGCTCTGAATGCCCAACCTGTACTGTGTTGGCTTTCTGGGCTGCAAGCGCACACTGCTGGCTCATGTTCATTTTCTCATCAACCAACACCCCCAAGCCCTTCTCTGCAGGGCTGCTCTGAATCTCTTCTCTGCCCAACCTGTAGCTGTGCCTGGGATTGCTCCGACCCAGGGCTAGGACCTTGCACTTGGCAAGTTAAACTTGATCCTCTCCTACAGTGGGCCTAAGGTCTTCATTCTCGCAGTCCCTGCATCTGCCTTTCAAGACTTGGGTGGTGCAGTAAGTGCACTTGCCAGTGAAGACCGAGGCAAAGAAGTCATTAAGAACCTCAGCATTCTCCAGATCCAGGGTAGCCAGTTCTCCTCATAGCTTCTGGAGAGGGCCCACATTGTCCCTAGTCTGTCTTTTACTTGCAATGTACCTATAGAATCCCTTCCTGTTATATTTAACATCCCTAGTGAAGTTTAATTCTAACTGGGCCTTAGCTTTCCAAACCAGGTCCATAGCTTCCCGGACAACATCCCTGTACTCTTCCCATGCCATCTGTCCTTGCTTCCACCTTTTATAAGCCTCTTTTTTCCTTTGCATTTCCCTCAGGAGCTCCTTATCCATCCATGGAGGTCTCCTGGCCTTCCTGCTGCACTTCCTTCTGGTTGGGATGCAACACTCCTGAGCTTGCAGCAGGTGATCCTTGAATCTTAACCAACAGTCTTGGGCCCCCCTGCCCTCTAGGGCTGTATCCCATGGAACCTTACTGAGCAAGTTCCTGAAGAGGCAAAAGCCTGCTCTCTTGAAGTCCAGGGCAGTGAGCTTGCTGCACACTCTTCTCAGTGTCCTGAGGATCTTGAACTTGACCATCTGATGATCGCATTACATTACAGGCATCCCAGCCCCTGTATCAGGACTGCTGGGCTTTCATCTTCATTTGTGAAAAAGCAGTGAGGCAAATAGTTGGGGTATCTCTCCTGCAGAAGAAAACAACA